AACAGAGTCTTGTCTCATTTCTCACCTTAGACTTAAAACATTGCCTTTCACTATGAAATATACTAACAGTTATGTTTCATAGGTATTCGTGATCAACTTTAGAAGGTTTCCTTCTATTCCCAGTTTGCTGAGAGCTTTTATCATAAAAGTATATTGGACTTTCTCAAATGCTTTATATATATATATTTGTCCTCTGGCTCCAAAATTTTCCATTTTTACCATGTGCAAAATACATTCATCCTCATTCAAGGCCTCAAAAAATCTCATCCTCTGACAGCATCTGCTTGAGATCAAGATCTCATTACATAAATTAGGTTTAAGTGCAGATGAAGCTCCTTAAGTAAGTTTGTCCTGATCAGAAGACCCAGGAAGTAAAGAGACAAGTTATCTGACCCCACAGTCAACATACCATGGTGGGACATAAGATAACCACTAAAGATCCTCCCCTTGGGTCAACAACTCATCTATTTCCATTGGAAATGTGTGATGGCTCCAAGGCAGAGAAAATCAGCCATGTATTTTATAAAAGATTGGGTTACCAAAATATGCCTTTTCTAGTTAAATGGCCAAACACTGGCATGTTACACCTAACAGACAGATTTGAAGCATGTCTCAGAGGGAACTTGGGCAACAAGGAACCCACTATGAGATCAAGGCCACTGCAGAGATAAGTCAGAGCTGTGCCCTGGCATCATAATTCCTTTCTATCTGAAGTCTGGATTGTTTCCTAGAAATAAGGCACACTGAGATGAAACAGATGGAAAATTAGCTAAGGGTAAGACTTCAGTTATGGTAGTTTTCTGATAAGGACCTTCTTTTTGTTAGCTTCAGGATAAATGAAAGTTCAATCTACAAAATCTACATATAAAAATCAGTAGCATTTCTATACACAAACAACGAATTAACTGTGAGAGTAAAAAGAAAGGCATCTCATTTACAATATCACCAAAGGCAGTAAAATATTTAGGAATAAATGTAACTAAGTGAGTGAAAGCTACAAGACATTGATGAAAGCAATCAAAGAGCATACAAGTAAAGGGAAAGAAACTTCATGTTCATGGGCTGTAAGAATTAATGTTGTTAAAATGTCCATACTACTCAAAGCCATCTACATAGTCAACATAATATCTATTAAATTTCAATGGCACTTTTTACAGAAGTATAAAAAACAATCATAAAATTTATATGGAGCCACAAAGTACCCCCCCCCCAAACCAAAGCAGTCCTAAGGAAGAAGAGTAAATCTAGAGGAATCATACCTCCTGATTTCAAACTATATTATAAAGATATAGAGTCAAAACAGTATGGTAGTAGGATTAAAAACAGACATAATGGAACAGCATCAAGAATATGGTCAACTAATACTTGATGAGGCAGCCAAGAAATTCCATGGAGAAAAGACAATCTCTTCAATAAATGGTGCTGGGAAAATTGAATAGTCACATATTAAAGAATAGAACTACACCTCTATCTTATACCACTCACAAAATTAACCCAGAATGGATGAAGACTTAAATGTAATACAGGAAAACATAAAGCTAGAAGAAAATATAGGGGAAAATCTTCTTGCCATAGCTCTTGGCAATGGCATTTTTTTTTAAAATATGACTTCTAAAGCATAAGTGAAAAAATAAGCAATTTGGGACTACATTGAATTAAAAAACTTCTGCATGGCAAAAGAAACAACCAACAAAATGAAAAGGCAAACTACAGAGTGGGAGAAAATATATCAAATTGTATATGTGACAAGGGGTTAATATTCAACATACAAAGTGATCTCATACAACTCAATAGCAAAAACACAAATAATCTAATTTAAAAATGGGCAGATGATCTGGGTAGATGTTTTTCCAAAGAAGATATTCAAATGGTCAACAGATACATGAAAAGGTGCTCAGCATCACTAATCATCAAGAAAATATGAATTGAAACCACAATTAGAGAGCATCTCCCTCTTGTTAGAATGGTTGTCACCAAAAAGACAAGAGATAACAAGTGTTGGCAAGAATGTGGAGAAAAGGGAACTCTTGTGCACTTGTTGGTGGAAACATACATTAGTGCAGCTGCTATGTGAAATAATACAGAGGTGTTTCTCAAAAAAATTAAAAACATAACTACCATATGATCCAGCATTCCCACTTCCGTATATTTATCCAGAGGAATCAAAACACTATCTTAAAAAGATATATGCAGTCCATGTTCACTGTTATTTACAACAGCCAAGACACAGAAGCAACCTAAAAGTCTATCAGTGGATGAACGGATAAAGAAGATGTGGTATATTTACATACCAGAATATTATGCTGCCATAAAAAGAAAGCAATCTTGCCATTTGAGACACTATGGATGGACCTGGAGGGCATTTTGCTGAGTGAAATAAGTCAGAGAGAGAAAGACAAATACTGCATGATCTCACTTATATGTGGAACCTTTAAAAACATAGATTAATAACAACAAAATAAAGCCAAACTCAGAGAGAGAACAGATTGGTGGTTGACTAAGGTGGCGGACAAAATGAATGAAGGAGGTCAAAAGGTACAAACTTCCAGTTATAAGATAAATAAGTCCTGGGGATGTAATGTACAGCACGGTGATTCTAGTTAACAATACTATCTTGTATATTTGAAAGTTGCTAAGAGAATAAATTAAGTTCTCACCACAAGAGGAAAAAATGGTGTAAGTTTATGTGATGATGGATATTAACTAACTAGACTTATGGTGCTGATGATTTTGCAAAAAATGCATATATCAAATCATTATGCTGTATTCCTGAAACCAATATTATGTTATATTCCTGGAACCAATATATATAAACCAATATTATGTTATATCTCTATTGGAACAAACCAAGGATAAATAAAAGCCACAGAGCATAGGAATCATAGAAAGATTCAAAACTATTTCATATTCTCTTCTAAAGCTAATCCAAGGGTGCATCATCCATACTTTATTGCTTACCTATACATACCAATCCTGCCTTTTTACTACAAGCTCTTTGACTTTTAAACTAGGCTCTTAAAGGGTCAGAACATAAACGGTGTTGAAAACATTAACAGACAAGGGAGGGAGAAAGTCTTTTAATTTTTGCAAAATGACTCTGTTCAACTCTACCTTCTCCCACTCATCCATCTGGCCCCCATTGCAAATCTCCATTTCTGGGGGGCGGGGTGGGGTTCAGATAGCCACAAAGCCAGTCTCCCTCCAAGTGAACAACAGAATCCCTTGGTTAGGGGGAGGGAGTGTCAAATAGTGAACTTGTTGGGCCCAAAGGTATGCCATGGAAACCCAATCATGAGAAGTGCTCTCACTCTACTGAAAGAAATGACCCTCCAGACCAGTTCTGAACATGCTGGAGGTTCTTGTGCTGTCATGAGGTTTGCAATGCAAGATCTTGCTGCTTGGCAACAAGCATGGTGCTCAACTTCTAAACTTCTAAACAACAAAATAAAGCAGTTGGTTCCCCCGTGGGCAATATGATAGCACCGGTTAACCACTTACAGTTCAAATAAAGAGGCAAAGTAATTCTCAAACTGTGGGGTCTATTCCCTGTATAGGCACGAACTCACGGATGAAGTAGTTCAGTTTCTTCTCTACTACTGCTAACAGACTGACAGTTTAAGGTTTGCTTCTCATTCGATAAAGACACTTTCCATTTTAATGACAATGTACACATTTAGTTGTTTGTTTTCAGAAGCAACTCTGCGACTTGGGGCGGGGCGAATGACAGAAGAAGAAGAGGGTAAGGCAGAAATTGACCAAGTATATTCAGTTCGTGGAGATGATTTTTATATACCAGGTATTTAAAAGCAAAGAGTTCACACGTCTATATTTTAAATGGATAAGCAACAAGCACCTACTGTAGAGCACATGGAACTCTGCTCAATGTTTTGTGGCAGCCTGGATGGGAGGAGGTTTCGGGGGAGAATGGATACAGGTATATGTAGGGCTGAGTTTCTCTGCTGTCCACCTGCAACTATCACAGCAGTATTTGTTCACCGGCTATGCACCCCCCAAAAATAAAAATTTTAGAAAAAAAGTAAAGAGTTCAAAATAACACATTTGTTCACGCATGGTTTCTGTGATTGCTAGCCATCATTATTTTCTTCCTTGCCTGCATTCCCAAGCTGGTTTCATAGAAGGCTTTATTGTAATCCCAGAGCATTGTTTTGCATTAATTTCTCTGACAAGGCACCCAAAACACATGGTGCTGAGAGCAACAAAACAGAGTTAGGGAAGCAGTCCTGACTTGGCACAAAGTGTGGCAGGCTGTAAAGAAGGGAATGTTTCGATATCTGCAGTGGCGCTGGTTTCCTATGAGCAGCCTTTTCTCTTCTAAACAGTATCATATTCTTTCCAAGCGCATTTAGAACGCAAGTCAAGCTGTGTTTTATTTCTGGTTATAATAAACACAGTCAGTTTACTGTAACAAAGACATGGTAGTGCTGATCGGTTTGAAAGCCAAAGTAAGACACCATAAGCTGGGTGGGGGGTGAGGTGGGGGGAGCCTGGGGCTGGGGGGTGGGTAGTCAACTGATAAAATAAAAGACCAGCCGTCTGGAAAGTTCTCTTAAAAGAACATAAAAAGGCAGTGTTTTCTTATGAGACAAACACAGAATGCCAAAATATCTGGCTGGGCTGTTTTTTGTTGCCGCTTATGGCAATTTGTAACTAAAAATAGCAAGTCCTTCAAAATATTGGGCTCTCATTTTTGTTTTCTAAATCCCTAAAATAAAATACAAAAATTTTGTACACTGCTTTAAATTGTAATACTGTTTCTTGTTTAAGACTCTTCTACATAGTAAGCATATTTATTATAATACTATTCAAATTGTTTTCTACAAAACAATCATTTAAAATGTTTACAATTATGCATGCATTTAGACTGTTGATAAAAGTGAAATAAAAAGTTCACAGCAAACAGTTAAAAATAAAGTTTATAAAACTTTCATGATCAAATTTCTGGATTCAAATTTATTAAGAAATAATGTAAATCCCCTTACCATATCTTGAACTAATGATTTTTCAAGCTCAAGCTCACTTACTAATCTGTCTCTGCCACCAATTAGCTGAAAGAGAAGAATATTAAAATCTGATTAAAGATAATAAAACACCTGAGATTCCCCTTGAATGAAATTTAGTGAAAGATCTTGATTCCAAATGTGAGAAAAACGGATCCCAATAGGATCAAAGCAAAAATTAAATGGCCACAGACTACCATGTAATAATAACATACTATTATATAATATTTAACTATATAAGCAGGCAAAACACATACAGAGAATGCCAGTTTATTTACAACCTTTCTCACCCTACTTCCCCCCAAAATGTGACATCAGTATATAATAAAGTAAGTCTATCTATCAAAAAGAACAATTTTGCTTTACCCTTTATATGAACCATTTCTCTTATTTTAGGTTTTAGTGCTGTATTTATATACATATCAAGCTACATTCATATCAATTGAAAACAACTGTCAATGTATATACTGTAGGGCCTTTATACCAACTTGACTTGCCTCAGTATTTTAAGTGATAGTGTGTACGGTATATAATACTGACAAAATTCAGCCCTTCATTCTGACATCCATTCAATTCAATTAACTCATATATTCACTAATCTAATAAACATGTATGGAACACCTTTGAGAGGCCAGACATTTTGTTCGGCTGTGGAGGCACAGAAGTGAAGTAGAGCAATTCCCTTCCCTAGGGCACCTACAGTATACTAGGAGAACAATGTGAAAAAATGACTGTAATATGTAAGAAAAAAGTTAACACATAAAATCTTCAGAGTCAAAAAGCCTAAAACTCCACATAACTTGGTAATCCTGTAATTATAAAAAGATCGGTTATCCCTGGTGTTAATGGCACAGAAGGGCTATTTGGCAAAGGTCTTGAAGGATCTGTAGAAGTTCAACAATTTGGAGAAAGAAAAAGGCCAAGAAAATGGTAATAAAGACAGCAAAGTAACCACAGCGAAGCCTGAAGTAATGTAGGAACTGGGGAAGGTTTGGTGTTTGTGGACCCAGGGTGCATATAGACAAGAATGGCAGGAATTAAAGGGAGGCAGAAATTCAGGGTGATATTATGAGGGGCCTTGCTCACCTCAATTAGGAGGGGAGGGCAGACTGGTATAAAGTACAGAACGAGAGTTGGTTCAGAAGAGAGCTCTGCTGCTTACACTGTGTGGGTGAAGTGATTCTATGCTTCAAGTCTATTTTCTCATCTATAAAATTAGGATAATAAAACCTACTTTGGAGAGTTCTCCTGGAAAGAACTTGAGACTGCAAATGTGAAAGGGCTGAGTGGCTCCCAGCACATAAAAATCATGCAGAACCTTTTGAGACAGTCTGATGTCGTGTTGAAGGCAACAGGAAAGAGAGCACTGCAGGTTGTAGCATGTGAGTGAGACTGGGGTGTTAGATAACCATGGCAGCAGCGTGGAAGCTAGACTTGAAAGGGAAGAGAGTGGAGACAGGAGAATGAAGTAGGAGTCTATACAAATGGGCAAATGATGGGGCCTCAACCAACTCTGTGACAACGTTGTTGTGGAGAAAAGGGACGAGAGGTAGGTTAAGACATGGCCCTCAGGTCATGAAACCCTGGTCAGGAAACTAGGATCCCTCCCACAAGCCACACAGAGCAGCCAAAGAAAAAAAAAAAAAGAAGAAAGCAGAGAAGGACCCTTGATCTGTCAGTGGGTCCTCTGGGACAGATGTCAATGTCATTCATTTAAGAGGGAAACACAGCTGAGTCCAGATTTGAGGAGTAAGGAGATCAAGTTTTGACACTGACTTTGATGAACATGTAAAGATGTTTTTTTTTTCCAGCAGATATTTTTGAGGGCTCATATAAAGGTAATAAAGGATAAGACATAGTTCTTGAGCTCACGGATTGAGGGCAAGATGAATCTCACTGTGAACTTATCAACAGCGGCAGTGTGAAGAAGAGGCTTGTATATACATAGACAAGTTTACTTTAGTTGATATTTGAAGAGTGAATGGTAGTGGCTTCAGGGGTGACCAGAGTCAAGGATCACCACCCATAATGACGGCTTGGCTATGTATATAGGCTAGTGGGGGATGCTTAAAAGCATGAGAGAGGGAGAACGAGAGAGAGTTTAGCTGATGAAGAAAGGTCTCAGAAGAGAAGGAAGGAGAAGATGGAGTCAGGCAAGTAAGTGGAAGGATGGGTCAGGGCAAAGAGGAAGGTTCCCTCTTCCGATTAGAAGGAAAAGAGGTTAGGCTAAGTGACAGGGTGAGCAAGAGAGTGCAGAGGTGAAAAAACCCACATGTCTACTGTGTTCTCTGTGAATTAGAGACCAGCACAGAGGAATGCAACTGGGGAAAGCAGTAATGATGGGAAGAGAGGCACTGGTGGTTAGAAAGGATGCTAATTACAGATATAAATGACTATATATAAAGTGGATAGATAACTAGGTCCTACTGAATAGCACGGGAAACTCTATTCCATATCCTGCAATAAACCACAATGGAAAAGGATATGAAAAAGAATATATATATGTATAGATGAATCACTTTTCTGTACAGCAGAAACTAACATAACATTGCAAACTTGAATAAATTAATAAAATGTGTTTTTGTCAAAGGGTGCTAATTAGATCCAAGTAAAAGGATGGGTAGAAGGAGGGAGCAGTGACTCTGAGTTAAAATCCCAGAACCATCATGCAATGTCACCTAAAGGCAAGGATCCGTTTGTCTCCAATGGCAGGGTTGGGGAAAGTTGGGTCCGGGTACATGAGAGCCTCAGAACGGGAGGTGGTGGTGTTGTTGAAGATGTGAAAGGCTGAACAGCAGGTTTAGAGAAAGTAAAGGAATGAGAAATGGAAGGAAAGGAAAAGATTTTTTGTTGAGTTATTATACCTTGGTCTGAAAAGAAGTGTCATTAAGTTTCCAACGGGCATCAATTACTGGCAAACACCAAAGCCACTGGCCCCAAGCCTTTCTGCCTCCTTGGGTCTTTTATCAGTGATCTCTTCTCTCTGTTGTACTTTTACCCGCTCATTCTTCTTTCCACTGATGTCACTTAAAAATTCTCTAGCTTCATCCTTTAAAAAATTCCTCCCTCAAGCCCACATTCCCCTCCAACCACTCTCTGACTTCTCTTTGGCCATCCACTATCAAACTTCTAGAAAGCTGCCCATGCACACTGTCTCCACGTCTGCATTCACTCCATTCCTCAGTTACTACCATGTTCCAGTAAAATGACCTCATTAATTACCAGGGTAACTGGAAAGGACCCTGATGCTAGGAAAGATTTAAGGCAGGAGGAGAAGGGGATGACAGAGAATGAGATGACTGGATGGCATCACTGACTCAGTGGACATGAGTTTGAGCAAACTCTGGGAGTTGGTGATGGACAGGGAGGCCTGGCATGCTGCAGTCTGTGGGGTTGTAAAGAGTCAGACACAACTGAGTGACTGAACTGAACTGACTTACCAGGGTCATTTTAATTGCCAAAGCTAATTATCCAATTTTTCATTTCTAGTCTTTTACACATCTGGCCTCTGGGAAGTGCTGAATGGATCCTCTCTTCTTGAGCCTTTTGCCTTGTTGTTGTTGTTCAGTCGCTAAGTTGTATCCAACTCTTTGCAACCCCCACGGACTGCAGCAGCCCAGGCTCCCCTGTCCTTCACTATCTCCCAGAGTTTGCTCAAATTCATGTCCACTGACTCCAACCATCTCATCCTCTGCCACCCTCTTCTCCTCCTGCCCTCAATCTTTCCCAGCATCAGAGTCTTGTCCAATGAGTTGGCTCTTCACATCAGGTGGCCAAAGTATTGGAGCTTCAACTTCAGCATCAGTCCTTCTAATGATTATTCAGAGTTGATTTCCTTTAGGACTGACTGGTTTGATCTCCGTGCAGTCCAAGTGACTCTCAAGCCTCTTGCTTGGTTTCTGTGAAATCCACTCTCTGCTGCTCTACCACTGTACTCATTTTCATCTGAGTGTCAACTTTCCACTTCTCTTCCTTTATCTCTCCCACTTTCAATCTTATCAAAGGCCCTGGCTTTTATTGCCTAATCATCTCTTGAATTCATCTATCTGCTTCTTCATCCCCGTGTCACTGTCTTCTTCCTGTTTCGGGACTTTCTATTAAGTTATCCTGGTTTATACAAGAAATCATTAATTGGTGTCTCTCTGGCCCTGGATTTTCCTTTCTTCCATTCGTTCTTTCTCTGAAACACGAATTCCATCCTGCCCCAGTGTCCAAGACGCCCCATTCACTCAGGAGGCAACTCACACTCCCTCCGAAATGCGTAACAATCCTCAGCCATGTGCCCTGCTTCTAGCCACCCCTGTTCCCACACATCCTCCCGCTGTAATCAGTCACGTACCTTCCCCCCTACACGTGTTCTGGCTCTTCCCACTTCTCTCCCTTTCACCCTTTCCTGGCGAACTCTAACCTTTCTTCTCTGGGCCAGCTCGGTGCCCTTCCTCTGAACTTCCGTAATCTCTTATGATTCAGACTGGCTGTGCCCCCAACCATCCCCATAGCAACCAACGCTGCCCTGTATCCCGACACTGCCACACCTGGGATATAATCTCTGACTGCTGGTCTGTCCCCTTTCAGAAGGAAATTTATCTTGTAGCCACAGCTGAAACAGATTCAGCTGTCATTTGACTACTAAAATTTAAACATAAAAGCTGCTGAATCTTAACAGCGTTTCAGTCCCATTTTTAACTCATTTTTAATTGTATCCAGGGATGAAAGGCTTCCCGGGTAGCTCAGTGGTAAAAGAATCTGCCTGCCAATGCAGGAGACACAGGAGATGCCAGTTTGATCCTTGGGATGGGAAGATCCCCTGGAGGAGGAAATGGCAATCCACTCCAGTATTCTTGCCTGGAAAACCCCATGGACATAGGAGCTTGGTGGGCTACAGTCCACGGAATCACAAAGAGTCAGACACGCTGCAAGCTGAGAGCGGGCTGCAAAGGGGAACATGTAGCTTATCCAAAGGCTTCTGAGCCCTCCTGTCCGCTCTTCCGGTTTCTGTTCCCTCCTTCCTCACATCCCAGACTCCTCTCTCTTCCTGTACTCACACAAATCTCACCACGCGGTCTCACTAGATCCCACTTCTTGCTCCAGCCACACCAGAGTTCCACGGGGGTAACTTACACTTTACGCATTCACATCTGTATGCAGCCTTCCACCTTCCTCCATGTATACATGCTAAGTTGCTTCAGTCGTGTCCAACTCTGTGCAACCCCAGGGACTGTAGCCCATCAGGCTCCTCTGTCCATGGGATTCTCCAGGCAAGAGTACTGGAGTGGGTAGCCATTTTCTTCTCCGGGGGATCTTCCTGACTCAGGGATCAAACCCAGGTCTCCTGCATTGCAGGCAGATTCTTTACTGTGTGAACCACCAGGGAAACCCTAAACACCTGGAATGGAGTAGGAGACAGGTCTGGAACAATTTGTGAAGCATTTCTAGAACCTTCCAGGTCAATTTTCAGTTCAGTCGCTCAGCCATGTTCAACTCTTAGGGACCCCGTGGACTGCAGCATGCCAGGCTTCCTTGTCTATCACCAACTCCCGGAGCATGCTCAAACTCATGTCCATCACGTCACTGATGCCATCCAACCATCTCATCCTCTGTTGTCCCCTTCTCCTCCCCACCTTTAATCTTTCCCAGCATCAGGGTCTTTTCCAATGAGTCAGTTCTTCGCATCATGTGGCCAAAGTATTGGAGTTTTAGTTTCAGCATCAGTCCTTCCAATGAATATTCAGGACTGATTTCCTTTAGGATTGACTGGTTGGATCTCCTTGCTGTCCAAGGGACTCTCAAGAGTCTTCTCCAACACCACAGTTCAAAAGCATCAATTCTTCAGCGCTCAGCTTTCTTTATAGTCCAACCCTCACATTCATACGAGACTCTTCCTTCGTGGCTCAGACAATAAAGCATCTGCCTACAATGCGGGAAACTCAGGTTCGATCCCTGGGTACTCTTGCCTGGAAAATCCTATGGACGGAGAGGGTGGTAGGCTGCAGTCTATGGGGTTGCAGAGAGTCGGACACGACTGAACGACTTCACTTTCTTTCTTTCACATTCATACATGACTACTGGAAAAACCATAGCTTTGACTAGATGGACCTTTGTTGGCAAAGTGATGTCTCTGCTTTTTAATATGCTGTCTAGGTTGGTCATAGCTTTCTTCCAAGGAGCAAGTGTCTTTTGATTTCACAGCTGCGGTCACCATCTGCAGTGATTTTGGAGCCCAAGAAAATAAAGTTTCTCACTGTTTTCATTGTTTCCCCATCTATTTGCCATGAAGGCATCTCTTCTTTATGTACATACATCTATTACAGCCCCATCACACTCTCCTGTGGTTATTGTCTCTCTCTCTAGATTTGATCTCTTTCACAACAAGCCCATGTGTGTGTGTTTGTGTGTACATGTGTATAAAATTTCTGTATCTCAGCAGTGTCTGGCACTAAAAGGCATCTAATGAACATTGCTGAATCAATTGATTTAATGAAGGATATTGGAAATAAACCAGTAAATATTAGCTCTCATTTTGGTCAACAATTCCTGGTCTGCTTTCCAATTGACAAAGCCTTTTGACGTATATTATCTCATTCTATCCACACGGTAAGCCTGTGAGACTCAGGAAGAAGGAGAATGAGAAACTGGCCCAAGTAACTATAGAGTCAGAAATGGAACAGAGACCCAAGGGTCTAGATTTTTCCTGCTCAAAACCAAATCATGCCTACATTCAACATCTGTGTGGAGGCCCAGTGCATATAAAGGAAAAAAGAAGGGAGACAGGATAAAAAATACGATCAAACAAACTACATATTTGCTATATATGTCTAGAACAAAACTGTCAAAAATATGTGTCATATATATAACTGAATTTTAAACACCTTTCTTAAAAAGGTAAAAAAAGGTGATATTAACTTTAATAATATATTTTATTTATACCAATAGCTATGCAAAATAACTTAAATATATAATAATCAATATTAAAAATCATTAGCAAAATATTTCACATTTCTTACAGCACCTGACTCTTTGAAATCCAGTGTGTATTTTTCATTTAGAGCACATCTCAATTTGAAGCCTAAAATTTTATGGCAGATACTTGATCTGCATTTAGATTTCATAAAATTTACAAATAGAAATGTACATTCACATGCTCAAATTATTCAAAATATACATAAAAGTTTTTCAGTAACTGAAACAAATATCAGTATTTTATATTGAAATTTAAAAATTAAAAGTAAACATAATTTAAAATTCAGTTTCTCAGTTGCACTAGACATAGGCTTTCAATAGCCACATGTGGCTAACGCTGGGCAGTGCAGGTCTAGAGAATGAAGGCAGCATTTAATCAGAATACTTGAGATCATACAAAGTATGACCAGCCACTCAGTGGGGATGTTTCTTTCTAATTGATGCCTTAATGGTGGGACTTTTTTTTAATTTCCTTGAACTCCTCGCAGAGAAGAGTAAGCTTGTCCGACTCATCTTTACCAGTGATAGCACAGACTGAGAAACTGGAGAAATTATTTACATAAACTGACATGATGCCCTTGCAGGTTATTAAGTAAAACTAGAAAGCTAAGATTTCATTTTTAACCTTAAAAGTTGGTGCCAAGAAGTTTAAACTGGTCTATTCTTATACTCTCATTACCTCTGTAAGAATGACACTTGCACCCTCACCATTGAAAACAGGCTCAAGCACCAGAAAATGACTTCATGTTGTGAAAACCTGTGATGGATTCAGTGATCATAGGAAACATCTCCCAATTCTGACCCATCACAGTATGCATTTCTTCAGAAAATAGTTCTTGGGACTACCTGGCAGCCCAGTGATTAAGACTCACACTGCCAATCCAGGGTGCTCAGATTCGAACCCTGGGAGGGGAACTAAGATATCTCATGCTGTGTGGCCAAAAAATAAAAAACAGTTCTTGGAAGTAATTTTATCTAAAACCTAAGAATAGGACTTCCCTAGTGGTTCAGTGGTTAAGACTCCACCCTTCCACTGCAGGGGTGTGAGTTTAATACTTGGTCTGAGGACTAAGATCTTGTATGTACACTGCACCACTGAAAGTAAATAAGTACATAAATAAAATTTTAAAAACTTTTTTTAAAATGAAAAATAAAACCTAAGAATACCAGAAGTGCAAAATCTAGGTTGAAATCTGAATCTTAAGCTTTATGAGCTCTGGATATGAGGCCAGCATGACTGAGGAACTCAATTTTTAATTTTATCTAACTTTAATTTTCATTTAAAAATTGATTCTCGATTCAGTTTGTGAAAAACTTATGATTTGGAATAATTCAAGGATATAAATTCACATTTTTATCTGTAAATTTTGTGAACTCTAGAGATACATTCTTATTCTATGAAATCACTCAAAGAATATTTTTAAGTGTACCAGTGCTCAACACTGGGATAAGATCAGAGACCAGTGCTGACTTTGGGTTGCAGGGCCTTTGGCAGTGCAGACTGACCATCACAGAGGAGGGTTTTGAGAGCTGAGAAAGCTGAAAGCAGGAGCCCTGAGCTGGGTGTGGAGGGCAGGAATTGCCGTGGTTCTGCGACATTAGATGCCTCAGGAAATCTTGATTTTTATGATATCAAAAGCATTCCCTGCTCTAAATACAGATTTTCTGCAAAATACAAACCCAGTTCATTCACATGCAGAGAAATGAAGATAAAACAATATCTGATATGAAAATAGGCTGCCCATTCCTAATAATATCATTTTTCCACAAGTATATCTTTGGACTCCCTGTGTCATATTTTTCAATTCCTTACAGCCAACAAGGTAGACACTCAGTTATGCCAAATGAAAGAAAACATGAGTTCATTTTCAAGATGGAATCCTTTCTCATTAATAGAGAAATAATCCCAAACAACACTAAATACAGGAATCGACTTTTCTCGACATCACAAGACAAGGCGGAGGCATAGTGTTATTTCACTAATTATGCTGATATTTCCATTGAAAAGAGTCATTCATCAATGTAAAAAAGTTACAGTACCTTTTGAATAGTTTTATGATCCTTATCTGCCATCTCTTTCAGACTTATAATTTCATCTTCTGTAAACAAAAGGAGAGAGAGGCCAACCATGAAATTACAAGCTTATAGCCCTGTATTCAATCTGCCTGCTTCAGGGCAGGCTATACACCGCTGGCAGGCATGGTGGACGCAAGTCCTAGCAGGACTACGACCTTCACAACTGCCCTTGACATTCACAGCTTTCTTCCTGCTGTTCAGACGGCTGGTCAGATAGGGATTAAGAACTAAGTTCAAGATCCAAGTGTGGCTGAAGGCTGAAAGCTTTTCATCGAGTCTAGCAAGGGACATTTTTGCTGTTAGTCACAGCCAATACAAACTGCTTTAGCAGGTGGCACTTTATGGACTGAGTAAGAAATACCAAAACCTGAAGACGCATTATTACACCACATCAGGGAAGAAATGAAACTACACTGGCGTGGTATAACTTACATCCAAGAAACATTGCCCCATATCTGATTTTATAAATGTTTCGCTACAAACTTTATATTGCCTTACTCAAAGGGCAAAACTTATCAATGTTTCGCTACAAACTTTATATTGCCTACTCAAGGGCAAAACTGTATAACTAACATAAATACAATGATAGCATTGCCTGTAAAAGCTTTAAAGCAATCCAACTTCAATGATTTAAATGCAATGTTTACCAATGTTTATGGCATGTAAGAAGGGGGTATAGGGTCAACAAATGGAAATTTGTACTTAAAATTTGTGCCAAAAATTGAAGATAAGTAGTAAGTAGAAGCATATTTTCCTGAAGGGCCAATTCTGTTTCTTCACAAAGCACACCTCAATATATATGCTCAAATATTAAAATGTTAGAAATTTTAGGTTTTAGATTAAAGACATGAAATTTTGTTTAATATTTATAATATTTCTAAGTGATATTGAGCACTGATGAGCACATTTTTCAAAGGCCAATGCTTGGATTTAAAAACAACCACCCTTAGTTAGAAAGGCATGGCTAGGGGAGTATGACCAATTTCTGTCCCAAGAAAAGAATGAAAAGTGGCTAACAAGCTGATATTTTAAATGTAAATATGGTTTGGTAACAAGAACATGTTTGAAAAAGACAAGCATGGCCATGAATTTTATAAAAGTGCCCAATGTATAGAGTTTTCTCAAAAATGACTCTAAAATGTTACCTAATACTGAATTTTCTTTTACATTGAGCTGGATTTCTTCTTCGAGTTCTGAAATGACTTGAAGCAGTCTCTCATTTTCTGTTTTGAACTCCAAATTTTCCTTTTCTAGAGTTGTTCTCAGAGGGCTGCTCTCTTTGATAAAAGAATCCTAAAAGAGGGAGAATTCCATATTTCTAAGCAGGGAGCCAAGGATTTAAATATGCAAGACGAGACAATACAGATACAGAAGAGCTATCATATAATTTTCTGAATTCTATTACACACTTATAATATGAATAGTAAAAAGGGAAGGAGAGGAAAATAGAGCGTGCTGGAAGAAAGGCTGCAGTACCTTCTGTACAAAGACCACAGCACATGGGGACAGTTTATTGACAGGAATAATGCATATCATACTGTTTGTGTGCCCCCATCATTCAGGTCAATTCATTATGGAGGCTGTGTCCGGGGAGGCAGCTGGGGCCCCTCCACCCACACTTCCCTCTGTGTGTGCGTCTGAAGTGCTGTCCGCCCGTAACCAGGCAGGCTGGGGGGACCGTGGACGGGCAGCAGCGCCGGGGGAAGGGGGTGCGGGCGGGGGGCGGGGGGCAGAGTGCACAGCTAAGGCGGGGGGCTTGTTGCCTTTGTGGCATTTCCCAGTGTCAGCGCTGCCAGTGTCAAGAGGAGCGCACCACATGTCAAAGTGGTGACGTTTTCAGGCTGGGAGCCGCATGGAGCCCATCAGGCACACGGATATCCACACAGTTGGGTTTTCTGCTGGGTGGAGGAGCCACCCAGAGGCAATTCATATTCTGAACATTAACGTGGCTTTGCATGCCTGTCACACTGGGACTGTGCAGGCGTTGAATGCTATTGAAGACTTCGGTTTAAATCTCTATGCAAACAGTGATTACCTTGTAAGAAGGTTTCAGGATAACTTACAACAAAAGACTTTAAAGTTATAGTTTTAGTAAAGCAAACTCATTTACATTTTTATTATGTGCGTCTTTTGTTTAAATCTTGCCATGTCCATTACGGGAGACGCTTTTTCTTACGCAATAGAAGCTTATTGGGACAGCTACTCTTCTTTTCTTCTTCTCGTGTGTTTCAAATCTATTGAAAACATCTGACTATACTTGCTTATGGCCGTCTAGATTTTACTTGCTGCACTTCTTTTTAAAATTAAGATGTAATGAGTTGGAGAAGCTGATGCAGAACTTTATATTTCATGATGGTAAAATATTAAACTGATTATGCAATCTCAAAATAGTAAAGAACATGCTTGAAAGTCATTGTATTATTACAGTATAAGAGACAGAAGTATTTATATGCCTTTGTTCAAAATCAATATGGACACTAGAAATACTTTTAAACTTTAATTTTCAGATTAATTATAAGCTATTCTTTTAGTAGCAATGCCATGATTGCAAATACATAAGAATAAAATCTCCTCTCAAAAACAAAATCATTCTTCCCCAAAAGTCACTCCTCCCAATATAACTAGTGTCCTTTTGAAAGTATACTTTTATTTAACTTTAGAGATAACTGAAAGTAAATTAATAAAAAAAAGGTTTCCTCTGTGGTCATAATGGTTCAAAAGAAAAATACGTAGCTATCATGTTTTATAGTACATGAATAAACCCTTGAGAAACAACAAGGGACTTTTTAATGAAGTCAGTTATACCAGACTTAATATTTATAATGATGACGTTAAATTTTTCACTAAGCCCAATTGTGAATCTTCATGATTTTGATTCATCATTCCACTTAAATTATTTAAGCCCAATTCATTCTTAACTAATGAGAACTAACAAATTTAATAACTAATAACACTATTTTCTTAACAAGAAAGAATCCCAGTCATTATTTTCTTGTCCCACATGGTTCAACTTGAGAACATCAAAGAATGAATTTCTATGCTGAAAAAGCTTTTTAAAAGGCAAACAGCGTTTGCCTTAATTGGCTTAAATGTACATTTCCTAACAGTGGCAGAAAATGAACATCCATTGTGGATTACGTGAGCATCCATTATAATAAACTAAACGAGAACTATTTGAATAATCAGATGAAGTGTAAAATTTACAAGAGGTGGCAGCTAGCGCCTAAATGGGTTTTCTAAAAATCTCCTAGAAAAGCAGGAAACAAGGCGACACTTCCAACTCAAGGGTTGCCCCCCTCCCACAAATCCATGGACAGCCCCAGTTCCTGAGAGGTTAACCTTTAGCTCTGTCCCCACCATCTGTCAGCTGCAGGAACTGCAAGTAATTAACTATTCAGATTCCCACAGCAATGAGGACACTCATTAGCAAAATGAACAAAGGGACAGTTCTGGGCGGCTACGGTCATCTGTTACACTCTGAGTGGCAGGTTTTGTGGTGGTGTTTCTCCTACCATCTGCCCACACCACTAGCTTCGGCTCACTGAAACCACGAGACTTCCTTAAAACAAGCTGTGTTAATAAACTGAAGTTAAGAAGGATGGAGATCATTAAAAGGTGGTTAACTAGTTAAAGCTATTTAAAGCTACATTATTGCCCAAGACAGCCTGCAGTGCAATCCCATGGTCACTCTGGGATTTAAAATTTATAAAGGAACTTGTCAGTTTAGAGTTCTTCTATCATGCAGTGGACGCTAGGACTTCAGTGCCGGCTCACATGCTATTTCTCTTGTGAACAGCCACAGGATGTGCGGTATCCCTGTCCGAGGCCTCAGAACCCCAAACAGTGGTGAAAGAACCATTTTTGGAAATGGGTGTTCTCCAGAGCCTCACTACTCCAAATGTGGTCCAAGGACCAGGAGCCTTGGCATCACCTGGGAGCTTTTTGAAAATGCAGAATCTCCGGCCCCAACACAGTCCTGTCTGGATCTATATCTTAACAGGAGCTGCAGGTGACCCATACACACACAAAGTCAATGAAGGCTGAGAAGCACTGTCTGGGCACCGCAGGTGCCTTCCCAGCAGTCTCCCTTTTGCCACATTGGCGTCAATTCTGCAGGCTCTGCGTACAGTGCTTGGACATCTCAATTTGATGCTGGGGGTGGGGGGCAGGGGTTTCTGCCGCATGCCCATGCTGTGTGACAGTCACAGAGACGAGCAGGTGCTTTCCCAGTGAGTGACAGCCAAGAAAGTGGCCCACTGGGGCAGTGCAGCCCTGCAGAGCTGCCGCTCTTGAATGACGGCTCTGTTTCAAAACTGTCAGCAACAAACAGTCATGTTTACGTATTGGTGGTGGCGGGGGTGGGTGGGCATGATGGTTGCATAGCTCATCCATGTTGGGGTAAGAAAGAAAAATGAAGTCTTTTCAAAACAACTCTAATTGCAATTGAAGCACACAGGTGTGTGCGTGGGTACACAGACACACAGGCACATTACCCTGACCAGCTAGCTCCTTCAGCAATTCTTGAGTGGATTTATCAGCATATAGCACGGCAACCTGAAAACTGTAGCAAAGTGCCATTAACTCATTGAGGGGGTTCACAGAGCCTGAAAAGACACTCAGCCCTTGAATGGGTTTGTGTGTGTTAGTCGCTCAGGCATGTCCGACTCTTTTCGACCCTGTGGACTGTAGCCTGCCAGGCTCCTCCATCCATGGGATTTTTCCAGGCAAGAATACTGGAGTGGGTTGCGATTTCCTTCTCTAGGGGATCTTCCCAACCCAGAGACTGAACTTGGGTTTCCCGCATTGCAGGCAGACTCTTTACCATTTGAGACACCAAGTGAAGCCCTCTCGGGGAAAATTCAACATTAAGGATGTTCTGACCTGGAGAGATGAGGTTTCTGTAACTTGATGAGATTCCTTTTTGTGATTTCCATCTTGTCATAAATATAAGCTAAGCTAAATGTTTACTAAACCTTCCTTTTCCTGTCATTCTTACATTTTACTCTAAAACAATCTGGAGAGAGATTATAACTAGTAACAGAGAAGTAATTTATGTGATCAGACTATGAGAAAGAACAAACTAGAGTGTTCCCTTATTGCTTATTTGATTTTCTTATTTCAAGTTGGTTTTGTGAGTTATTTCGACTGCTGCTTTGAGAATTTCTAATTGTTTCTCCAATTTGGTTTTCCAAATCTAATTTCAGACACTTGCTGTATTGAGCTTTCTATACCGGTAGAGGGAGCAGTCATATTAGATGATATTTCAAATTTCAAATTCAGGGCTTCTCTGGTGCCTCAGACGGTAAAGAATCCCTCTGCAATGCAAGAGACCCAGGTCCGATCCCTGGGTCAGGAAGATCCCTTAGAGAAGGAAATGGCAACCCACTCTAGTATTCTTGCCTGGAAAATCCCATGGATGGAGGAGCCTGGCAGGCTACAGTCTATGGGGTCGTAAAGAGTTGGACATGACTGAGTGACTTTACTTCACCTAGAACTTGAGTGGTATGGAGTTCTAGGAAAGCTAGTTCTTAGAAGATTTTTTTAAGAGAAATTTCAGATTTTTTTTTTAATATATAATCTGCTTTTGCAGTGTTCATGTCCATCCTACTGAAAGGCACACTAGCCCTGCTCTGCATTGCCCTAGCATGGTGTTTCACTAGGGTCCTCTGGTGCTGGGGAAAATTTATATATACACTCAGTTAATCAGGAGTCTCACCTTCCTCAAATCTTAAGTTGTTTACAGCAATACTGATGTGGTGTCCATGGAGGCAAAATACAGTGAAACAACTAAGGTCTGCTGCAGAAGACTCTTGAGAGTCCCTTGGACAGCAGAGAGATCAAACCAGTCAATCTTAAAAGGAAATCAACCCTGAATATTCAATGGAAGGACTGATGCTGAAGATGAAGCTCCAATACTCTGGCCATGTGATACGAAGAGTTGACTTACTGGAAAAGACCCTGATGCTGGGAAAGACTGAGGGCAGAAGGAGAAGGGGGTGACAGATGATGAGATAGTTGGGTGGCACCACTGACTCAATGAACATGAGTCTGAGTAAACTCTGGGAGACAGTGAAGGATAGGCATGCTGCAGTCCATGGGGTCACAAAGAGTTGGACACGACTGAGCGACTGAACTATAACCACCACCAAGGTCTTCAGAATGCCACCAGATGCAGAGAACACCTGCTTATACAACAGCAGGGGTGGACCCTCCCACTTCCTGTCGTCCTCACCAAGCCCCGCCCACCTCATCTTGTTCTTTGCCCAGGATGTCCAGACAGACCAGTTAACAGGCTAAGGACAGTCGGAGGTATAAACACACCAAGAAAGACCTCGCGTTGGAAGCTCAATTACAGAAGTGGGATATTTTCAACATTTCAACATTACATTTCATGGAATGTAAACCAGGTGGTAATAAGGACTTGTGTATTTCCCCATGATGATAACTAGAATTTATATGCATGCCTTTCTTCAAAGAACTCACAGCGATTCAGATTCATCACAACAAATCCTCCTCATAACACTGTTGGCTACGCAGAGATCACTTTTCATTTCACAAGTGGGAAATAATTGGATCAAAATTGCCTTGTTAATCAATGCTGGACATCGTTAGTCAAGGGCAGGAATAAAAGCCAAAACTATTACTACTTTTCTATTAAATTTTCTACTAATAATTCTATTAAATTATTTTCTCCAAAAAACTAAGAGTAAATGTAGACCCAAGATAAAAAAGTAAATGCAAAAATTGGATGTGTCTCTTCCTCCAAAATGATCAGAATATGTAAAAAGAAATAATATTCAATTATATTAGATCTATGATAAGAATACTTAATATTAAGTTGCTTAGAAGATACTCTGGTTTTTTTAGAACATAGAGAATTCTTTTTTTGTTTGTTTTGTTTTTTGTTGTTGTTTTTGTAGAACACAGACAATTCTAACAGATTAAACAAGGTATTCTTTCCCCAGTTAATAAACAAAGTCCTTTAGAAGGGTGCAAGTTCTATTCCTTATCTTTTCTAACTTTAGGGGTTTTAAGTAAGAATACTAGTGTGGGACTTAGATATACCAAGGACTGCACTTAAATAGCCCAGCAACCTGGAAGTGTTTCTTCTTCCTAGCATTCCATTTGATATATTACTTCTCAGAGTTTTCCCATACACACACACACACACACACACACACACACGAGTCAATATTTATGTGTATCTACACAGGGATCACTATACACTTAGTGATGTACATTTAGTGATATACACTTAGTGACCAGGGCTTCCCTGATAGCTCAGGTGAAGAATCCACCTGCAATGCAGGTGAACCTGGTTCTATTCCTGGGTCGGGAAGATCCTCTGGAGAAGGGATGGGCTACCCACTCCAGTATTCTTGGGCTTCCCTCGTGGCTCACCTGGTAAAGAATCTGCCTGCAATGTGGGAGACCTGGCTTTGACCCCTGGGTTGGGAAGATCCCCTGGAGAAGGGAAAGGCTACCCATTCCAGTATTCTGGCCTAGAGAATTCCACAGACTATATAATCCAAGGGGTTGCAAAGAGCCACACATGACTAAGCAACTTTCACTTTCATACACAGGGATCACTATACACTTAATTAAAATTATAATAATTATATATGTTATATTGATTTATATATATACTGTAATACCATAATCTATTATAATAATATAATATACATATAATAAATATATAAGCTATATAAGAGTATATATATTGGGTTGGCCAAAATGTTAATTTGGGTTTTTCATAACATCCTATGGAAAAACCCAAACTTTTTTTGGCCAACCCTAAATGTGTGTGTGTGTGTGTGTACACATATATATGTATACTGCAACCTTTAATTCTTACTTTATACAGAGGAAAAAGCTACACTTCCTTGTGTGGGACTTTGGATTCAGATAGACCTTGGTTTTCATGCCATGTCAGCATTTACCAGCTGCGTGCTATGGGTAAGTCTGCTTCCTCGTCGGTGAACTGAGCTGTGAGGTGAGGAAGCACCCGTGCCAGTGCAGGCTGTGATCCTCTGGCCTCTCCCGTCACCTCTCCTACTCCAACAAGCCACCTCTTGCTCTTAGAACCTAATACGAAAACCCCTCTATGGCTATCTGAGTTGATCTGAGGTGAAAATAAACTTGTGTTCAGGGTCCACAATGTCCAGATCCTTCTCATTCATCTCTTCGGCAGGTAGCTAAGCTCTCCCTTCTGCGTTCTCTTTCCCCCACTTCTGTTCTCTTCAGTCCTTGGAGCAGTAAAGTGGTTCCTGGCTCCCACTACAACGGGGAGAACAGGGTGCCATCCTCTGAGAATTTTCCTTCTTGACATTTCTATGGAAGGTCATCCTGTTACAAGCTGGTTTCTTGGAAGCCTCTGACTTGAGATTGTTTTGTGTCTTTCAAATTAACTGGATTGAAAAAAAAAAAGGGTGGGACTCTTCTGTATTAAAACAAAAAATGTATTTCCATGCTTTTCTAGGGTGGGAGATAGGTTATTTTATTTCCCTTTCAAATAAAAATTGAGAACTATTTAACTGCTCCTATTTATAATTATTATGGGTTTTCTAGACTATGTTATTGAGCAAAAAAAGGGTTGAACTGTCTTATTTTGTGAAGAAGATACCCAAGATACATCCACTGTGGTCCCTTTATTCCAAACCCAAGCTTTTAGACAGCCGTGAATTCATTTAAATATATTAACATAAATTATTCTTTGCTGTGAAACTTACAACTTTTTGAGATCCATTTTCTTCATATTGGTCTAGTTCTTCTCTTAATTCCTTAATAACCTCTTCTTTCTCCCTCAGTCTTTTTAACAAAATGTTCATTTTGACAGTCATTGCGTCCTGCAGGGATGTCTTCTCTTCTTCCACCTCGAAGTATTGCTGGGGGTAGAAAGATACTAGTCAGATACTACGCTACCAGCAGAAACCATTCCATGTTTTATTTAAGCTCCTGTCCTGTAAAGTTGTTTTATTTTTGCAACTTGCATGCAAGTTTTAGTAAATTATGATATTTATATTGACCAATACACTAAAAGTGTCAATGGCATTACAGCACACTATTATCCTATAAGAGACAAAGCACAATGTCTCACGCTGACTGTATCAGTCTGCCAATAATAAAATAGTAAGCCTTAGCAGTAAATCTACATCATGACTGTGAATGTCCTACTTCAATTTTCCTCTAGAAAGCAAACTAGCAAAAGTTTTGACTATGTAAAACAGAAAAGAAATGTACTTCAATGGTGCAACTAATTCCCTTGATGGTTTGGAATGGAGGGGTGGAAAAAAAGAACCATTTCTTGAACCTATTTAAAGCACTGAGGTGCTAGCCTATTCACAGTTATTACTCTGAAGAATTGTGTCACAAAATCAAAGCAAGGAAAATGCTATAAAATGGCGCTGCTATTTACTTCAACATATAAAAATCTCATTTTCAACACAGACATGCAAAAGCATTTTGCCCATTTTGGACTCTTTTGGGAGTTATGGAAGAATTTTTTATTTTCATCATCTGTTACTAATATATTTGGACACATGGACTTACAATAAATATAGTAAAACTTAATCACATCTGCTTATATACATAATATTGTATTTAAAAGAGTTAAACTTAAAAACTAAAATTGTTCTAATAGTATATGATGAATACTGGCAGACTGAGAAGAATAATATTATATCCGGGTAGCATTGAAGAGTCAAGCTAGGGCATGCCTAGTGGCTCAGTGGTAAAGAATCTGCCTGTCAATGCAGAAGACACGGGTTCCATTTCTGGTCTGGGACAATCCCACACGGGGTCCTAGCGTCCAGGAGTCACAAGTGCTGAGCCCATGTGCCACAACTAATGAAGCCCACACACCCCAGAGCCCATGTTGCACAACAGGAGAAGGCACTGCAGTGAGAAGCCTGCACACCACAGCTAGAGAGTGGCCCCCGCTCGCCAAAACCAGAGAAAAACCTGCACAGCAGTGAAGACCCAGCACACCCGAAATAAATGAATTTTTAAAAAAAAGGGTCTGGTTAAGGACATAACGCTGACAGTCTATACCACACTAATGAAAAAGATCAGTAAATGAACACGCAGTAGCGTTTGAAAGAGTGAAAATTAAAAAAAATTTAAAAAAAGAGAGTGAAAATAGAACAACCATATTACAATACAAGATTTTTAATTGGGTGATTCTAGAGAACAGTATTGAGTATGTAGATCTGTTCTTCACATCTATTCTGTTTTATGTCTCCAGCTTAAATGCACTGCAGAGGTTAAGACACTTAACCCACTGGTGCCCTGAGTGTAAGTTCCTGGGCATCTCAAATTCAACAGGTCCAAATAGAGGTCCCCGTCTTCACTTTCCCCCTCTCTGCCTCTCCCATTAACATCAGCCCAAGCCAGAAACCCATTTTCTGTCATTGTAAGCACCTTTTATTCCCTCACTAACTCACCAAATCTGTTCAATGCACCTCTAAGTCACTCCTGAACCTACCCTCTCCCCTGATCCACCGCCTTGATGTTACCACCAAAACTTGGGCCTGCCAATCTACTGACATCAGGTTTCCCTGGTGGCTCAAAGGGTAAAGAATCTGCCTGCAATTCTTTAGGAGACCTGGGTCTGATCCCCGGCCAGGAAGATCCCCTGGAGGAGGGCATGGCAACCCACTCCCGTGTTCTTGCCTGGAGAATCCCATGGACAGAGGAGCCTGGAGGGCCACAGCCCGTGGGGTTGCAAAGAGTCGGACAGGACTGAAGCTACTTAGCACACACAATCTGCTGACACCAGTGTGTGGTAAAGGAAGGTTCCGTGTTTCTTGTTAAGTGCCAAACAAGGAGTCCAGCACAGTTAATGCTCAAAAGCCTGAACTCCCCAGTGGGTTTCAACAGGTTTTAAAAAATGCGTTTGTTTGTTTGACAATGCTGTGCACAGTGTGTGGGCTCTTAGTTCCCCAACCTGGGAGTGAACCCTGGCCGCTAGCAGTGAAAGCAGAGAGCCCTAACCACTGGACTGCCAGGGAATTCCCCACCAAGGTATTTTTAAAGGCCAGGTGAGGGAGGGGAGCCCCAGGGTGTGTGATCAGCTGGTGCAAAATTCTCAGACTGGTTGATGGTGAGGTAACTGGGAGGTGTCACGGGGATTCATATTATTATTCCTTAGAATGCAGGAGGCGGGCAGGCTGTTTGCTCATGGTCATTGAGTTAACAGCTTCCGTTTGGTGAAGGTTTTAGCATCTGTTTAACAGCTCAGGAAGTGGGCATCAGATACTGTTATCTGGGTGCTTCAGAGATGAGCTGCAGCAGAGGACATGGGGGAGGGGGTCTGCTCCGGAAAGGCCCCGTAGGGTCCCGTTCAGTTACAGTCGGACTCCGTCTGGTTCACTTGCACCGTTGCACTAGCTCTTAACTCACCTCCCTCTTTTTTTTTTTTTTAAATACCTATCTAATTTTTAAAAATTAGTTTTTATTGGAGTGTAGTTGCTTTACAATGCTGTGTTCGTTTCTGCTGTATAGGAAAGTGAATTAGCCACACAGATACGTACATCCCCTCTTTTTTTGGATTTCCTTCTCATTTTCGTCACCACGGGCTTCCCTTGTGGCTCAGCTGGTAAAAATCCGCCTGCATTGCGGGAGACCTGGGTTCTATCCCTGGGTTGCAGAGATCCCCTGGAGAAGGGAAAGGCTACCCACTCCAGTATTCTGGCCTGGAGAATTCCACTCATTGTATAGTTCATGGGGTCACAAAGAGTCAGACATGACTGGATGACTTTCACTTAGGTTACCGCAGAGCACTGAGATGAATTGGGAGATTGGGGTTGACATAGATACACTAGTGATATATGCACAAAACAGATAACTAATGAGAATCTACTGCACAGAGACTTCCCCAACTCTTCTTTTGTCCTCTCCAACCAATCTGCACCCTGTGACTGAAGTGATCTTTCTAAAATGCAGCTCTCCTTGTCCTCACAGGCTTAAGTCTAACTCCCTTAGCACGATGGACAAAATAGCATCCCTGACTTGTGCTGGCCTTCTCTCCCCTTCCCTCACCACACTGGGAATTTTATCAGTGCTGATACTCAGCACGCAATTTCTCAGAAGTACTGTGGGACCACAGGTCTCCACACATTTGGAATTTCTAGGCCGCCTATTAAGCTCTTGTCAATTTCCTGAATGGCATTAGAATAGATTGGCTTGGGTCTGCAGATGAATCTGCCACTTAGTAGTAGCTTTGTTGCCTTGAACAAGTTTCTTAAGTTCCTTGGGTTTGTTTTATCATCTGTAAAATGGGAAATGTTGAATTTTATTTACTTGTAATTTGTTGAGGATTTTTGCATCTCAATCAGGCAACAATATGCCTGTTCATTAGGCATATTCACCTGTGTGTGTGTGTGTGTGTGTGTGGGTGGATGGGTGGGTGGGCATGCGCTCAGTTGCTTCAGCTGTGTTCCACTCTTTGTGATCCATGGACTATAGCTCCTCTGTCCAAGGGATTCTCTAGACAAGAATCCTGGAATGGGTTGCCAAGCCCTCCTCCAGGGAATCTCCCAAACCCAGGGATCAAACCCTGGTCTACTGCATTGAAGGCAGATTCTTTACCATCTGAGCCACCAGGGCAAGTGATGTGACTGTGAATTATAGTCCTTCCTATAGCATGTGTGCATGCATGCTCAGTCGTGTCTGACTCTTTGAGACCCCATGTACTATAGCCCACCAGGCTCTTCCTCTGTCCATGGAATTTTCCAGGCAAGAATACTGGAATAGGGTGCTATTTCCCTCTCCAGGGTATCTTCCCGACCCAGGGACCAGACCCACGTCTCCTGGGTCTTTTGCACTGGCAGGTGAGTTCTTTCCCACTGTGCCACCTGAGAAGCCCTAACAAAGATGCTTCTGATAAACTGGCTGAGTCATCTCCTTGATAACATGACAAAAACCACTGGGAGCTCATTTAAAATCCCACCATGGGACTTCCCTGGTGGTCCAGTGGTTAAGAACCTGCCTTGCAATGTAGGAGATGTGGGTTCAATCCTTGGTTGGGGAACGAAGGTTCCATATACCTTGGGGCAGCTGAGCCTGCGTGCTACAACTACCGAAGCCCATGTGTTCTGCAGCCCAGGAGCAGCAAATGGAGCCCATATGCACCACAACTAAAGAGTCCAGTGTGCTGCAAAGGAAGAGTCTGCAAGCCACAACAAAAGCCAGACACAGCCAAATAAATAAATATTCAAAAAAAAATCCCACCAGGGGGCTTCCTTATGGCTCAGTGGTAAAGAATTTGCCTGCTGGCCTTTCCCAGTGGTTCCGTGGTAGGGAGTCCCCCTGCCAATGCAGGACACATGGGTTCAACCTCTGATCCAGGAATATCTCACATGTTGAGGAGCAACTAAGCCCATGTACCACAAATACTGAAGCCTGTGTGCCCTGGAGCCTGTGCTCTACAACAAGAGAAACCACCTCAATGAGAAGCTTGTGTATCACAACTAGAGAGTAGCCCCCGCTTGCCCAAACTAAAGTCTGAGCAGCAACAAAGACCCAGTACAATGAAAAAAAAAAATCCCACCAGAAACTGTGCTGTGATGCTGTACACACTTGGCATCACTGGGGCCAGCCTGCCTTTAGGATGTGCTCAGCCCCTCTGGACTTCAGGGTGGGGGTGGGGTGGGGTGAAGGGAGGGAGGGCACAGTTCTCTAAAAGAACAGAAAGTTTCACTTTTTGACATTTCATAAAGTAATTGTAAGGCCCAAACACACTGGATTCAAAGAGAACATCTCCATGATGAACATGAGATGTTCATGGGAACATGAACATCTCCATGATGTTTTATGAGTATTGAATGAGCTGGGCTCAAGAGGAGGTAAGCAGAAAGCAGTTGTTGTTTTTTTTTCCCACCACCCT